AAAAACATGTGGACCTATAACTGCATGTATCCAGGTAAATGTTATTTTCTTAAGGATTTCCTGTATGTTTGTGTGAACATTTAATATGTACATATTTCCATTTATAGGACAGAGGGAATTAATCCGTAATCAATAAAAAAATTCTTATAGATAGAAAGATTATTGAGAGAGAACAAAGATTGTGTGTGTGTGTGAATGCACATGTATGTGTGTGTGTGCACGCGTGACTGGAAGGAAAGGTGGGAGGTTGGACAAATATTTTGAGGGTAGCAAAAACAAAGAGGTAAATAATAAAAAAAAAAAAAAGATGCTCAGTTGTGCATACCATTGCTATGTGTGTTTGTGTGTAGAGGCGGATCCACCCTTAATACCCCAGTCAAACCAGTTCTTTCTTGTCTAACAAAGTCTGGCAAAATGAGAAACTGGTTTTTGAAACCCTCAAAATAGAATCAACAAAACAAAGACATGGTTAGTCACTTCTTATATAACATTGCCATTAAACGCAAGAAGATTCAAGCAAGGTGGAGTCATAGGAGTTTTATATGGGGAGATTTTCCGTAGGATACGGTTCAACTTCTATGCACTCTGAAATTTGCTTTTTTTTTTTAATAGCATGCCTCTTCGGGACGTAGGTGATCATAATTCTCTCTTTCCTTATTCGATCATGACTCTCCTTTTCCATACCTGATCATGACTCTCCTCTTCCTTATTTGATCATTACTCTCCTTTTCCCTATCTGATTATGACTCTCCTCTTCCTTATCTGATCATTGCTCTCCTTTTCCATATCTGATCATTACTCTCCTTTTCCATATCTGATCATGACTCTCCCCTTCCTTATCTGATCATTACTCTCCTTTTCCATATCTGATCATGACTCTCTTTTTCCATATCTGATCATGATTCTCCTTCTTCATAAAAACAGCAGGGAGCTTTCCCATTACTTTCTCCATAATTCTGAATTCAGACCGACCACCACCCAAGATGGGAGCCCAACCTACTATGCTATTTTACATAGATTCAGAGTTTTCCTTCTCCTAAATTGATTACCCATCAAGGCTAGACAGCCATGTCTATCTGGTTATTTAGCCTGTATCATGGCATGCCCTAGTTATAAAGATCTGAAATGGTAGAACTAAAGATTGGCTCTAAAGAACTATGTTAGAATGGCAACAGGCCAACGACATTACATCTCGGGGAAAGAAGATGAGGAGTGGAGAATATGTCACACCCCAACAAGACGGTGTAAATGATTTTGAACTTCATGAAACCTGGAAAGTGAGGACTGAGCAACTCCAGCCCAGGAATGAAAGCAATACTCTATTTTGGTCTGATCATTATCAATTGGACCCAGAACTTTCACCAATCATGATCAACGGATGTTCCCTCAGGAAGGCCACATGCCTTGAGCACCTATTGGGACTTCAGCACAATCCAGACCCCACATAGAACTTGTACATACATATTCATCAAGTTATGAACATTTCCCAAGTGATATGTTCTAAATCTATTTTGCAAGTAGACAGCCTCAGAATTTCAGAACTTGTCTAACTTTGTCCTCATTCCATGTATTTTCAAGTCATGATCATTTGAAGTTAATCAAAACTCTCACATATTTAATCATTTATTTTAAAATGATCAGTTCTGGAGAGTTGGTTGTTCTGCTAGGAAAGTCATTGAAATCTTGTTGAAATGAATGTTATGACAGGTTTAACTTACACTCTTTTCAAAAAATGAATCAAGTGGATTTTGTCACCCTACAATACAAAATTCAATCAAATTAATGCAAATCATTGCCATATTTTGCCTGATATTTTATCTTTGACACCTCAAACTTTGAATAATAAAAATGGCCAACACAAATCTTTTTCTCCTTTTTAGTGTACATTCCCAAATATTCATTCATCAGTTGTTTACACCACTTGTTGCAGACTGCACATGAACTGGAGATTAGTCACAGAATTTCCACCACTCATGATCAACAAATGTTCCCTCAGGGAGGCCGCATGCCTTGAGTACCTATTGGGACTTATATACAATCCAGAGCCCACATGGAACTTGGGTTGTTGGAAGGAAAGGGCCGACAGGATTTCTTTTAATGATTTCAAGTAAGGAAATGCCTTGTCCTAGAATGCTGTCAACCTAAATTGTTCAAGCTAAATTCAAGTTATGAACATTTCCCAAGTGATATGTTCTAAATCTATTTTGAAAGTAGCCAGGCTTGAAATTTCAGAACTGGTCTAGCTTTGCCTCATTCCATGTATTTGTAAAGTGATGAACATTTCCCAAATAATGTGTATTATATCTAGTCTGAAAGCGGAGAGTCTCAGAATTTCAAAACTGGTCTTTGTCCTTACTCCATGTATTATTTGTCAAGTTATGATCATTTGAATTTAATCAAAACTCTCATATATTTAATCATTTCTTTTAAGATGATCATGTAATCATGATTTAAGATATTTCTTCTTGTCAAGAAAATCATTGCAACTTGACATTGTTTTCAAAGATTTCCTTATTTCAATGGCTTTTTAGTATCCTACAGTACAAAATTCAGTTAAATTTTTTGCCATATTTTGCCTGTTTTTTTTTTTTTGTTTCCAATGCCCTCCTCCCACGACCAACACTGAATAATACTAATAAAATTGTCAAAAAATAAATTTTCTCCTTTTTCATGTAAGTTTCCAAACATTAAAACAAATCTGCAAAATGTAAGAAAATTGTTCTTTGGAAGATATTTAAAATGTAATCAGTTCCTTTCATACATTAAATTGATCATTATTTGTTTTTGGCGCCATATGTTAGGCATCAAATATCCATTTTTAATATAACTTCTTTTTTTTATATATCAGAAAATCATGTCCCAGACTTCTATTATGAATTTTAGGGTTCTGAAGTCATTTTTGACACTGAAAATCCTCTGAAAATAAACAGTCTCAGGATTTCAGAACTGTTTGGACTTTGTCATCATTCCATGTATTTGTCAAATCATGATTATTTAAAGTTAATCAAAACTCTCATATATTTAATCATTTAAGATGATCATATTTGACCAAGTAATCAGGATTTAAGATATTTCTTTTTGCCAAGAAAATAATTGGGATTTGACATTCTTTTCAATAATTTCCTTATTTCAATAGGATTTTAGTCCCCTACAGTACAAAATTCAGTTAAATTACCACAATTTTTTGCCATATTTTGCCTGCTTTTTTGTCTCCAACGCCAACCTGCACATGAACACAAGATATTCTTCACCACAAAGGTCAATCACCAACAGCAGAGTTCAAAGAGTAAAGGTCAAGTCCAGTCCATAAGTGGACATTATCAAGCCAGTGTTTAGGCTTTGCTTCTCTTACCAGTCAACTTCTCAAACCAGGAATTGATCTTTTGATATGGTCAGACAGTTTAAGTACTCTCGGCTTGATAACCTATATGAAAACAATTTTAATCTGCAAAACGTACTAAAATTCTTCTTGGGAATATATTTAAAATGTATCCAGTTTCTTTCAGACATTAAATTGATTATTAATCATTTTTGGCACCATATGCCAAGCACAGGAGGCACAGTGAAGTAATGGATAGAGGCTCAGATTGAGGAATCAGAGAACTGAGTTCAAATTCCGGTCAAATCTATTACATTCCCTTACGTGCTAACACCCTTGGGAAAGGTATGAATCCTATTCTTCTCAACCTAGCTGTAGGTAAATAGCAGGACAGACCAGGTTCTGTAGCCTTGGATGACAACTGGTCTACCGCAGAAAGAAATGGTAACCTACTGCGGAAAAAAATCTGCCTCGTCAGTCATGTATCAAAAGATACATGATCGCCTAAGAATATATCATGTATGGCATATAACTGAACTGATGGCACGCATCAAATATAAATGTTTTGACATACTGTTCCTTGTATTTATCAGAAAATCATGATCTAGACCTCTAGTCCTATGTTCTTGGGGGATGCTGCATCCATTTTCACTCCTAAATGAAGTCTAAATGGATCCAATACAAAATATAAGACTTTGGGGAGAATTTTGTCTCTTCACTGCAAACCAAGGTTTCTACATCTAAACCCTTATTTTTAATTAGAAATGTGACCGTTTTGTTTTAATCTCCCTTTTAAGTACAAATAATATTAATCCATTTCTATAATTGAGCTGAAAATCATTCCTGGCACTCAAAAACCACAAATGTCTACTTGGCTTCATTGTGTGAGCCCACTGTGATATATAGATAAATTTCTTCATAAATCTTTGAGTTCTCAATATTTTATACATTTTGGGACTGCTTAATACATTTTTTTGAAATCCCCCGACCTGTAAAATGTCTAATGTGCATTTAGATGCAAAATTGATGTACTATTCAGGAATTTTGTCCTAAACCCTTATTTTTAATTAGAAATGTGACAATTTTTGTTTAACTTCTCTCTTAAGACAAATAACATTAATCCAGTTCTAAAATTGAGCTGAAAATCATTCCTGGCACTCAAAAACCACAACATCCACTGTGGCAGAAATGAAAAGGTAAATAATAAGGTCCCCAAAGAGGATTCAATTCAACAACTTGTTGTGTAGGATCAACCTGCTCCAAGTGATACTGTTGGTATACTAAATAGTTATTTAATGAAATATACTAATTCTGGCACAAGGCTCCAGTGATGAGTCTTCCACTGAAAACTGAAATCATTACACATGCTATGGTGAGAACTTGTGTGTGTATTATACCAAATAGAATTAAGCAATAAATTTTTAATAAAATTTTTATCAAACTTTATTATCAAGTTTTTATTTTTCTTCTCCAAATTAATTTAAAAGACGATTGTTATGGTACACACACACACACACACAGAGTCAAACCACACCCTTGCTTTCTGAAATACACATAGATAGAAAAATTTGTATATTCTGAGCCAGACATTAATATAGCAAATGCTGCTACAAGTTACTTTCTTTGAAATACATTCTTCTCCGGTGTTCACATGCCATCGACTTCTTCCCATTGTAGTTGATTATAACCAGGCATTTTTCCTTCGGAAATCCTGAAAGAAAAAAAAAAAAACATCAATAAATTTTAGTGACACTTATAAAAGCAATGTCTCCTAACAGTAAAAAGACATCCTGCAATTTTCTTTTGGAAGGGGAAGAGGGGGGGGATGTGAAAGCCCTTTCTTCATAATTAGTTGTTAGCCTTCATTCTTTATATACAAGGGCATTCAACAAAATGACCAATCATGGCTCTCCACAATTTCCTGTCTGTTCTTGACATAAATAACTTTTACCTCGTCAGTGAGGGTAAGATTAGCCGACTTGGAGGAAGGGAAGAGTCGGTGGGGTTTAGAGTTGACATTGTCTGTTGAGTAGGTTGATCAAGATCACTGGTTGTGACATTGACAGCTTGCCCACTCGCAACAACTGCTTAGCGGCGTGAGCGGCATCCTTAAAAGCAGATGGGGTGGATCATGACTCAACATTTTTTTGTTATGCCTTTTACTTTAGTAGCAATGTTCATGATTGGCTCCTTTTATATTTTATATTCGGTGGGGGAGAAGGGGATTTGCTTGTGAGCCAGACGTGATACTTGATGCCACTATTTATTTTCATTTTTGCTTTCTTAGCACCTACATCCTGTCAAAAGGAGTGAATTAGAAAAAGATCTAGTTTGAAGCAGGGCCTAACATTTAGCACTTCTTGCTGTTTCTTTTTGGAATTGGCCATCATTTATCTGTGTATCTTGCTATCGTCCATAAATTTACTCACATACAAAGATTTCAAGAAGAAAATGAGCCTCTCTTCACTTACCCGTGGTTTGTAACCCTGTATCTGAAGCCTTTCTGTCTGTTTGCGGAGAATATCTTCATATTCCTCGGCATCTAGTCTTGCTGTTTCTTGAGCTCGCTCTTCTTCTTCTTGGGCAATCAATGCTTCTTGTTGGCGGGCACTCAGCTGAAAGAAAAATGAAACTTTTTTAAGCAGGAAACCTTTTCATAGTTCAACAAATTCAATTTATTCAGCCTACTTAAACTTTTTTTGTTTTGTTTTTGTGGGAAAATGAAAAGAAATTAATAAATGAAACAATAATGTTGAGTTGTTATTTTATAATGGATCCCAGACAGACAGATATGTGGTACAACAGGAAATTAAAAAAAGATCTACCAAAATATGTTTACCATTTTTGTCAACTATAACAATGCAGGATAATGATATTCAGCCATGCTTAGAATATTGCTGCCACATGTGGTCTGGTGACTCTGCTTTTTATATTGAGCTCTTTGATAAAACCTAAAGAAGAATCAGCAATATTAATGATCCTGATCTGGTATCTGGGCTTCATTCACTTTCCCACCACCATAAAGTTACCTCCCTGTGCCTTTTCTATAAATATTTTCACAATAATTGTTCGGATAAGCTCTTTGCTATGGTACCTAGACTATTTTAATTTAAATGAAGTACAGGACTGGCATCAAGATCTCATCAATTTACAGTAGAGCTAACTAGATGTAACCATAAATTCTATGCTAACAGTTTATTTTCTCACACTTCTCGCTTGTGGAAATCCCTTCCGTCTTCATGCTTTCCAGCCAACTTGAATCAGCAAAAATTTAAATGCAATGTCAAACACTTTCTACTGTCCTCCTGATTACTCTTTTTCTCTTCCTGCTCATAATTAATTTTTCTGTTCCTAATTCTTTCATACTCTGTAGCCTCTTGTGTCTTAGTGGTCCCACTTCCAGAATTACTCCAGCATTCTGGTTTCTGCTTCAAGGTTCCATTTCCAGATTTATTCCAGCATTCTGGTTTCTGCTTCAAGGTTCCATTTCCAGATTTACTCCAGCATTGTCTGCTTCAAGTCTGTCCCAACTTTCCAGTGTCTTCTTTAAAGTCTCATCTCCAGATCTATTCCAGCATTCTGGTTTCTGCTTCAAGGTTCCATTTCCAGATTTATTCCAGCATTCTGGTTTCTGCTTCAAGGTTCCATTTCCAGATTTACTCCAGCATTCTGGTTTCTGTCCCAACTTTCCAGTGTCTTCTTTTGTGTCTCATCTCAGATTTATTCCAGCATTCTGGTTTCTGCTTCAAGTCTGTTTCAATTTATTCCAGTTCTGGTTTCTTTAAAGGTTCATCTCCAGATTTATTCCAGCTTCCCAATGTCTGCTAGAAGTCTGTCCTAACTTCCCAGAGTCTACTTCAAGGTACCAGCTCCAGATCTATTCTAGTTTTCTGGTGTCAGCTTAAAGATCCTGGCTCCAGTATATTCTTGCTTTGTGAGATTTGCTTCAAAGTCTTGGTTCCAATATATCCCTGCTTCCCAGTCTATGGCTCCAAGACGATGCGAGTTTTCTGGTATTTGCTTCAAAGTCTTGGTTTCACTTGCTTTGAATAAAAATACTCATTTCAAAAATTCCGAGAGAAATTAATATCTAGGGAGTTAATGGATTTTATTTCAAGGAGACGAAGAATGATAATTGACTTTGTAGTTAGATGTTTGTAGATTGTAGCTGAGAGGAAAGCAAGAAGCCAAAAGGGAGTTCCAAAGGTGAGAAATATGAGAAAAGAAACTTGAAGAATAGAATTTAGTTATATCCAGCAATTTCAACAGTAAAATGATGGGACCTAGCAGCCAATCTAGTGCTGAAGTTGCAGTACAAAAGTTGTTTATCTGAAGAATTGCAATGAAAATAATTATAGAAAATTCACAGGGAACCTACATTACAGGTGTGGGAAAGTGATTGATGCCAAGATGCAAGGTCAGGATCAATAACATTGCAGATTTTTCTTTGGGTTTAGTTACAATTCAATTAAAGATTCAGTCTCACCTGCTCTTCAAGTTCTTGTTTCCTGGCCATCCTTGCTTGTTGAATCTTCTTCTGTTCTCTCTGGCTCAACTGGTTTGCCAATTCCATGTCCTTCAACAGTTCTTCACGCAGCTGAACGGATTCCTCCTGTTCCTTGCGTAATTCCTGCAATTTCCGATCCATCTGCTCCTTGCGAGTTGCAAGAACCTGCAAAAAAAAAAAAACAAATCATACAGACAGGTAATGACAAGAAGCACCTGGAATATACTTATATTCATGGACATTCCCTTCTGCATGAATAAAGAAACGCTTGTATGCTATTTGGATCATCTGACAATGAAGACTATGTACTGCCAAGGCATGAAGGATGTGTGAGTGGTGCAATGGACAGCTCTTCAAAATGAGAAATCAGAGAGCCAAGTTTGAATTCCAGTTGAGTTCGCTACATTCACTTACATGCAAGAAACTGTTAGGAAAAGTATGAATTCATTTCTCCCTCCCCCCAGATATGGGTTAAATAGTAGTACGTCTCTGGAAAAATCATTATCTCCAAAAAATTTTTAATGCAATATTCACTCACAAAAAATAAAAATAAAAAATATTCTTAAAATAAAAAAAAATTTTAAAAATATTCTTACAATAAAGAAATTTTAAACATTGTAATATTCTTACAAAAGAAAATTAAAATAAATATTATTCTTACAATAAAAAAATTATTAAAAATATTATTCTTAGAATAATAAATTTTAAAGATACATTACTCTTACAAAAAAATTTTTTTAAATATTATTCTTACAATAAAGAAATTTAAAAAATATTCTTACAAAACAAAATTTTTTAAAATATTATTCTTATAAAAAAAAATTTTTTTTAAATATCATTCCTAGAATAAGAAATTTTACAGATACATTACTCTTACAAAAAAATTTTTTAAATATTATTCTTACAATAAAGAAATTTTAAGAAATATTATTCTTACAAAAAAATTTTTTTAAATATTATTCTTATAATAAAGAAATTTAAAAAAATATTACTCTTACAAATAAAATTTTTAAAAATATTCTCCTTACAATAAAAAAATCTAAGAAATATTCTTCTTACAATAACAAAATAAAAAATATTCTTACAATAAAAATATCTAAAAAAAAAACTATTATTCTTACAATAAGCTACAAATAATTGATCTTAAAAAAACTAAATGCCATGTCTATCGTTATCTACTGTCTTCTAGATTCTTGTTCTTTTATTGTACTCTCTCCTTAATAGAGTTTTTTTCATATTTGCTAACACTCAGTAACCGCCCTGCCCCATCCTTGCGTCTTAGTGGCTTTATTGCCTTGCTTGGGGTGAAATTATTAAGAAAAAATAAGAAATTATTGCAGGCAATAAAATCATGAGTGCTTTCAAAGTTGATGATAGTGTCAAGACCAAGGGAGAGAACTGTTGTAAATTTTTGAACAAGACATTTTTTTTCCTTTTTCATCGGTACAGTCCACAACCCCAAAACTTTTAAAGAGCATATTCATGCAAAACAATGCTCCTACTCATTCTGCAATGCTGTCTGTTGCCCACCTTGCGCACCCCCTCCTCCCCCCCAGCAAAAATACTTACCTAGTTTGGCACATCAGTTTACTTTTGGCCGAAAGTGGTGTAAATTGTTCTCATTTTTGTTCAGAGAGGCCCCCACCTCCTCCAGGTCCCAGGGATTTAAGCCCCTGCAGCAGCACCTCCCTCATTGCTCTAAGACAGGTGGGGTCGGTGTGGTCGCGGGGAGTGGGCAATTTTGTCCTTGGCCTATATGTATACATATGTATCCCCACATGAAATCAGCTTTGTGTCACATCCTGTCTTAGTGAAGTAGCTGGGTATATCTACCATGCCTAAAGTAGGTTTCAAAGACACCAAATTAATGGAATGGACCCCAGCCTCTGTAGATATTAATTTAACAGAAAACTTGGGATCCAGCATTAAAAAAGATCTCAATGAGAATGGCAAAAAATATTTGGGTGAAAAAAGATCTCCCGGAGCAAAAAAAAACTGATACAAGTCATCAAAACAGTAGAAAGATTATTAAAATTAATGGATGAAAAGATAGATTGGGGGTCCTGGACAATGCTTTGTGACTCTCACTATCTTATCAACATCTGCTTTTTTATAACTACATTTATATATGTTACAAATTAAACTAAACACAACTGAATATTATTAAAGGATGAAAAATTTTTGCAGATTTTGACATCATTCTCGTTTTTTTTTTGTTGTTGTTGTTCAAATCCGTGAATTTGTTTTTCTCATACTAACTCTCGAAAAAACACTATATATAAAATTTACTATTTTTTATCCATAATGTTGAATCTATTAAAATTATTCAACTTTTCAACAAGGAAAATCTTAAATTTGATGTCATAAATTGTTGCAAAAGATTGATTTAAGATGATATGTCTCTAATTTGTATTTATTTAGATACATTTTATTTATTTTCAATTTTTCTACTTGAATTGTTCACCTATATTGCATATGATCCATTATTGTACATAATTAGGTTACAATAAAATTTGTATTTTATCTGAATACTACCTTATGAAAATTCAGAAGTAGTAGAGTGGGGTGGGTGTATCATATATTCTGGGGATCGGCGACATGAGACCCTTGCTTCAGTCCTGACTATATGTAAGGATTATACATTTTAAATTAAAACACAACTAGACAATTAGGGAGTAACAAGAGGCAATTTTAATGTTTAAAGGTCACAAACAAGAAGATTTAAGCTAAAGAATATATTAATAAAAAACTGTCTATTGCACACCTAGACAAAAAAAGAAAAAGGTTTCAAAGATGCCAACTTAATCAAATGGACCCCAGATTCTCCAGCAATTAATCCAGTAGAAAGCTTGTGATCCATCATGAAATTAAATCTTGGTGAGAATGGAAAACAACATTCAGGTAAAAAACGATCTCTGGGTAGCAATAAAACCTGATACAATTCATCAAATCAATAGAAAAAGTTATTAAAATCAATGGATGAACAGACTGATCCTTATAGAATGCCAAAAAATCTTAAATTAATAAGTAAAACAAAAAAAATAATAATTTATTCAGGGATATTAGATATTGTGTTAATCCAATCTGTGTTTCCATAGTGAAAAGATGTTTCAGCTCATTTCTTTGCAAGCACATCTCCACAAAGAAATATTATCAATATTAAAAAAAAGGATTAATATTAGAAGTTGAAATTTATATCTTTATCATCCATCATGAAAAAGGAGATCTCAGTAAGAATAAAAATCAACATTCAAGCAAAAAACGATCCCTGGGTAGCAATGAAACCTGTTGCAAGTAATGTTAAAAGGTGAAAGGGTTGACACAACAGAAATTTAAAGCTCAAAAATAACACCATGTTCATACGACATTACAAAACATTTGTCTTCTTAATTTCTGTTTTTTTATTGTTCTCTCCCTCCTTAATAATGTTTTTGTGATGTTGGACGGCTTCACTT